TGGAGAGGGGGTGGTGGCTCCCGCTGGGTGAAGCTGCCCTCCCACCCACTCTCCTGTCCACTGAGGAGAGAGGAGAGAGCTAGCAATTCCAGAAGGGTGATCTGGATGGCTCAGCTGGGGAATCCCAAATATTCCCAGGCCAAGAAGACAGACCTGCAACCCCGCCCTTGTCTCCAAGACTGATGCCCCCCCAAACCCCGTGCCGTGTTTGTTGCTCTGAGAACAAACTGGGGCTGGAATTTTGTGGTCCCTGCTGAGTTTCATAGGGGTGGCCGTCACACACTTGTGCCCTTGGATGCCCCAAAGCCCATCCTCCAGCTGGTCCCTTTATCTCCGGGGCTTTGGAAGATCAGGGAAGGGCTGTCTCTGCCTCCAGGCCAATGTCAGGATCAGAATCATGGATAGAAGGCAGCTCAGCCTGCACCTTGAATCCTTTACGGCCCTCTCCATTTTTCTCATTGCGTTCTGGGAGCCCAAATCTGGCTTTTCTTGGCCACTTTTCATTCCCGTGGGTCTTGGGAAGGCCTGTCTTCTGTCTTCCCTGACTAACCCTGCCCAGAGAGGTCAGGATGGAACTACCTCATTTGGCAAACTAGCCCCAAGTCGGAGCACTGAATCATGGTCCCTATCAGACCAGGTATCATCTCTGAAGTCTCTGGAAATCCCGATCCCCCCATTCCTCAGCTGCTTTCTCAAGGGAGTCCCCACCCGCACCCTGCCACCCCTGCCCAGTCTCACTAGAGGGAGCTTTCCAAAGCTCTCCGCCAGGGAGACCTCCTCCAGCTGTGTGCATGTCCAGAAGCTTTGAGAGATGGAGATGAGCCAGAAACCACATGGGGTCTGTCTCCCATGGTGTCCTGTCCAACACGGGGCTACCCTGACCCCTGCTCTCCCAGGCTGCCCACCAAGGGCTTAATAGGGCTAGGTCAGTCCCACATGGGAGACAGGTTAGGGCAAGTCTTTGTCAACTCCATCTGCTTATGCAAGATAGGGATTGGACTGCTGTCCCTTGTATGGGCATTGCAGACTCTCTCTTTGCTCTCCAGGCGTGTCCTGCCTCCTGGACCTCCAGCTCCTCTGAACTTTCCAGAGTCCTGCACCAAGCCCTTGCTTGGTGCCAGCACCTCCTTTCCCTGTGTCCATCTTCCCTGGAGAAGCCTGAGCCAAGTGTGACTCGGAAGCTTTTCAGCACTACCCCTGGGTTCAGCCCGCCACTTTCTTTCTCGACTACAGCAAACACCGTCTCCACCATCTTAGCCTAGAGAGCCAGCCTGAGGAGGCTGGGAGAAAAAATTGACACAGGGAGCCAGGAACAGCGTCTAGCCAGAAACCCCTGCCCTGAGAGCCCATCTTCATCTTTCCCACTGATGGCTTTCTGCTTGACCCTTCTGTCTCCCGTAGGGGCAGAATCCTACGAGCCCAATTCACGGATCTTTCCCTCCGTTTTACATGGCTAATAATGGATGTTAATCTTGAATCCTTCAGCATCTCTTCCATTGAATGGCTTTCTCATAGTTTATTTTAGAAAGATGTTTAATATACTAAAGCAAACCAAAAAATAAAAAATTAAAAAAAATTAAAAGGGCTGGGGATGTGGCTCAAGCGGTAGCGCGCTCGCCTGGCATGCGTGCGGCCCGGGTTCGATCCTCAGCACCACGTACAAAGATGTTGTGTCCGCCGAAAATGAATATTTAAAAAAAATTATCCTTAAAAAATAAATAAATAAATAAAAAGACAAATATAAGGGGTCCTTCCTGATTAAAATCAGCAGAGCTCCTGGGTCTTATATGGTAGGAATTTAAAAAAAATAAAAATTAAAAAAAAATTACCCTGAAGGGAGGACTTTTGTGACCCTGTCACAGACCAGATCCTGGATTTCTGGGAGGTAAGGATGATTTCCCCTAACTGTAAAATTGGTAACAGATTCCAGTTAGAACAGGTCCACATGGGCCAAAGTGACCTCGAGTGGTCATGGCAGTGGGGACGTGAAATCTGATGTCATCCTGCTGTCAGTCAAAAGTCAAGAGGGGGACTGGGTGGGACTCTCTGGAAGGGGGCATGCCGTCCCTCTCCTCTCTGAGAGGACCCACCCTCTCCTTGAGAGTGTCCCTTTCCCGTGCCTCCCTCACACCTGTCGCTCTACGTGCCCTGTCCAGACTTTCTAACTTGATGCCAAGAATCGGAGCCGCCTCAGTCTCCCAGAAGTTTCCAGCACCGTAACAGCCTCAGAAGAAAGGACAGCAGAGGCCAGGGAGGACATGTTCCACCTGGACATTGGCCCCTCCAAGCCAAGCCCCTGCAGTTGTCGACATTGGCTGGTTCTGCCCTGAGACCCATATGGTCCACCCTTGGCAGGAAGATGTTGTGTCCTTTGGTGGTCACCATTTCAGAACCAGTCTGTCCGTCTGCCTTCTGCCTCCTCCCTCTCTCCCTCCTCTGCCTGCCTCCCTGCCCACTGGTTCCATCCTGTCTCCGGCACTCTGCCTTCTGCTTCCACTAGAGGTCGTCACCGGCCCTGCTGACCTAGGGCTGGGTGTGGCCCAGGCAGGTGGGGGTGACTGAGGTGGCCCTGCGCCTGGTATTTCCAGACCTACCAGAGGAACCTGGTGCACAGGTTCCGGCCCCCCCTCCCCGCCCCAAGCCTCTGAGTCAGGAGTTTCTGGCTGTTGGGAACCACGACTTCAAGAGGCCCCGGATTCTGCAGAGTACAAATGACCCCGCTGTTTCCAACCCATGTGAGCAGAGCTCCCCACAGGGGCCAGAGGTGCGGCCGCCGCCCAGGCCACTGAAGCAGCTGCTGGAGGCAGAGAGAACAGAGCCGCCCCCGTGCCAGACTGCAGCCAGGCCCAAGAGCTGCCCGAAATGTCCTTCCTCAAGTCATCTTTCGCTGACAACCTAGATGGCAGGGTAGGACAGCTCGGGTAGCTGCAGACTCCCCGGACCCCTCATCTGCTCGGTCTCACTGGGAAACCTGCATTCCCAATTGCTCGGAGGTTTGGGACCAGCCTTGGAGGCAGGTCCCACTCTGGAAGCTAGTTATGTGCACTGAGGAGAGGAGGCCGAGTGTGGCTCTTATGACCTCCCTCTTGCCCATCAGGGATCAAGTCACTTGGCATTGGCAGGTATACTCTGGTCACACTTAGTGTAGCTCAGCAGGTGGACACCCTCCCCTGGTGGATAACTGTCTTTTTAAATCAGCCCTAAAAAGTCTCAGGAAATGGGTGCAGTGGCAAATGCCTGTAATCCCAGTGATTCAGGAAGTGGGGGCCAGCCTCACCAACTTAGTGAGGCCCTCAGCAATCTAGTAAGACTCTACCTCACAATAAAAAATGAAATAAGGGCTGAGGTTGTAGCTCGGTTGGTAGAATGCTTGCCTAACACATGTGAGGCACTGGATTTGATCCTCAGACCCACATAAATATAAAATAAATAAAAATATTATGTCATCTACCAGAAAAAAAAATATTAAAAAAAAAATGAGTGTTCCTGGTTTCAATCCCCAGTACCAAAAATAAAGGTAAAAAGGAAACAGCCTGTCGTGCTGGCGAACCCCTATGATTCCAGCAACCAAGGAAGGAGGACTGTGGGTTTGAGGCCAGCCTCTACAACTTAGTGAGACTCTGTCTCAAAATAAAAATGGCTGAGAATGTAGCTCTTTGGGATTGCACCCGTGGGTTCAACTCCCAGATATCCCCCCCAAAAAAAGCCCCAAAAACCCAAACCCTGGGGAAACAAGCCTGGGATACAGCCCAGTGGCGTAGTACTTGCCCAGCATGCAAGAAGCCTTAGGTTCATCCAGTACGGGGATGGGGTGGGGTGGGGGACTTTAGGACAGGTGTGGGCATGAACCAGTCATCTCACCACCCCAACCCAAAGGCAGGGGTGAAACTCTCAAAGCTGGCTGTGCTCCAGGGCCTCACGCCGCAGCCCGCCCATGGGTGCAGGACACTAGGGTCCCCGCCCTTCACAGTTTTCCAGAAACAACTCAGCATGGCCTGCAGCTGTACAGAAACCTGCAATTCCGGCCAGGCCAACCAACAGGAGGACCAGCTTGAGCACTTGTGACAGGGATCAGATCAGTGACCCGTGAACTTGCTCTGACTGTCCCACCTCCCCAGCAGCAGCGTTCCTGAGTGGCTAGTACAGCTGCCTGCCGAATCTGCCCACAGAACGAAGTTCCTACTTCCAGATCCTTGGGCCAGGAAATTCCTACTTCCCAGATCCTTGAGTCACGGAGAGGCCTGACTGCCCTCCCGGTGGGGGGAGGCACCTCCAGCTCAGGTCTCAAACCAGGCCTGAACAGCTGACCTAACTCTTGCCTCTCGGCCCAGGGGGCTAGTGATGGCACCAGAGCTTCTGTGACTGGGTCATCTGTCGGTGCAACAAAGGAGTCCAAGGATGCTACACCAGAAGTTACACTTTATTTAACATTTAGAAGATTAACATAGTTACAAGGTCAATGTGGGCCTTCCAATGGAAGCACTTTATTTGGTTTAATTCCATTTCCAGGGAAAAACAGGCAATTTCAGACCTTAACAGTGGCAAGGGGCGTTTACAACACTGAAATGCCTCCAAGTGTAGAGTAAGTGCACGCACGCACGTGCACACACACACAGACGCACATGCGCACATACACACACACACATATACACACGCACACACAAGAAGGTGTAAAGGTGCTTGACATCGGGTTAAAACATAATTGTGGATTTTTTTTTTGTACTGAGATTGAACTCGGTGCTTTATCTGAGCTCTATCTCCATCCCTTTTTAATTTTAAGACAGGGTCTCCCTAAGTTGCAAAGGCTGGCTTCAAACTTGCAATCCTCCTGCCTCAGCCTCCTGATTCAGGTGGTGTGCCCCACCCTGCCTGGCTTGGATCATTTTTTTCTTAATTTCTTTTTATTAGTTGTTCATTGACCTTTATTTTACTCATTTATTTATATGTGGTGCTGAGAATTGAACCCAGTGCCTCCCACACGCTAGAGAAGCGCTCTACCACTGAGCCACAACCCCGCCCTGGGCTTGGATCATTTTTAAAAATAACGGGTGGGGTGTTAAAGCACAGGAGGCGGAGCCAGTAAGAAACATGAAACCACAATTTCTGGAAAAATCCTTGCATTATCGTAACATTTTGTTGTGTGAACTTTCTGATGACAGATGTTGCGGAAAGGCATCGTGGCCCCTGTGCTGTGTGGGTCACGCGGTGGCTGAGCCCGAGGCTGAGCAGGACAGACCCAGAGGAAGATCCCTGCATGTTTTCCCACGCCCCCCCACCCCGCCCCCATCCTCCAAAGGAAAAACCTGGGTAAATGACAAGTTCCTCTCTTTCCCTTTGTCTTTAGGTCATTTTCAGAGCAAGTTTGATAAAAACGATCCATTTTTACCTTACAACACTGTATTCTAGCAACGACGGGCAGCGAGTGCCAGGGACGAGGACGGAGCACCCACATCTCTCCTCCATGGGAGCTGCCCCAAGGTCTCAGGGATACTTCCGCAGTAGGATTCCCAGAGTAGACGGTAGGACCTCAGCATCACAGAATCCCAAGCCCGTCGGCACCAACGGCAAGGAGGCAGCCCCGGGGGACGCATTGGGAAGTGCTGATTCTCCAGCCTTTGGGGGCACGGGTGGTACAGACAGGTCACAGAGCGCAGGAGCACATCCTGTACTGGGTCTTGACATTAAAGGAACAAAGAACCGCGCTGACACTTCACCCCCTACGTTGCAAGAAACGAATTTACCTGGACCGCGATGTGAAACGGCACGACGCACATGCATTACGGAGGCTCTAAAATCAGATTAAAAAAAATTAGCATCCTTGTGGAATGGTCAGTGGTCAGCCAGACTCGGCAAAGTCCAGGAGTCCCAGAGGTGCCGCCCGCCATGCGACGGCGGGTTGGGGCTGCTGGGCGAGGGCTGGTCTGCAGCTGGGGCTGGGCCCTGACAGCGCTCATGTGTGGGCCTGGCTTTAGTCCCATCGGCCAAGCCACCCTCCCGCGCCCCCAGGCGTGGGCCCATCCGGCTGCCCACCCTGAGTGGAGGCCATGCTCCAGGTCCCCGGCCCTGGGCTCAGCCTCAGTTTTGGGGAACAGCGAGCCAGGGCTCCCGCTCCCCCTCCACTTGACCCTGAGCCTGCTCCTCAGGCCTCTCCTTGCTGCGGTCTCCAGTCGCCAGGGGGATGGAGCTGCTGAGGCTGGTACGCGGTCACCCCTGGTCTGCCCAGGGAGTCATCTCCTGGTTTCCACGGGACAAATCACCAGCAGACAGGCCTGACCCGAGGACCTGTCCTTTCCATCCCTGTCCCTGTGGCTCTTGCTAGGCTCCCTGGTCACGAACACCAAGAACTGTAGTGCCCCAGGTGAGCCCCGCATGCCAACCACACAGGACACTAGAGCGCGGCCCTCGCCCTCGGCGGGAGACGCGGCAGGACTTGTTCCGCACCAAGGAAGAGGAGAAGCTGTGCTGCTAAGGCCTGAGTGGCCACAGGTTAGGTGACCACGGATTCCCCCCAGAGATCCGAAAGGAGAGGGAGGAAACAGGTCCAAGGGCAAGTGCAGTGGCTGCCAATGGCCGGCAGAGCTCATGGACAAGGGCAGAAGCGGCGGCCACAGAGTCCCCAAAGGACCACGAGAGGCACCAGGTCTTTGGTGATGAATGCACTCGAGTCCCACAGTGCTACTCTTGGGATTCATGGGAAGAAGAGGAAGTTTCACTTTGCAATAATGAGCTACCAAAAGGAGAGTCACCCGGCCACCAAGTGCCACGCGTGGTCTGTAGTCATCATGGATAGGAGGATGACCAGGAGGGGTGGACCAGGATGCCCCTTATCTAAGGTGGACATGGGTAGGACGAGCTGGGGTTGGGCTTCCAGTGTGGACCTTCCTAGCCTCTGCAGACAGGGCACCAAACTAAAGTGTGTGTGTGTGGCTGGAGTGGGGGACATCCAAGTCCGACCGGAGGGTCCAGGAATTGTGGGCAGGGTCCATGTGGAGCACGAGGTGCCAGCCCACAATCAGGAAGGCACCTCTGGGAGAGGAAGCATCTGCTAATGTAAGACACCAGGGGACGCGTGGGTGACACGTGGTGCTCAGCACACCCTGCGACTGCCCTGTCCTCCTTGTCCAGATTCTGTTATCGCCCCAGGAGACCCGTGGCGAAGTTTTCACAAAAAGGCACAGTGTGAAATGACGAGGAGGCCAGGGCACGCGGTTTGTGGACTGGGGCCCTGGACAAAGGGGAGGGGCAAGGTGGGCAGCGTGCTGCCACCTTCTGGCCTGGGCACGTGGGGACTGGGGGGATGAGGATGACCCCTGCTGTGCGGTTGGGGACACCTGTCCCCTCCAGGCCACCAGCGTGGGCCTCAGGGCTGGCTGAGCCACAGTAGCATGCTGTAGGAAGGACAGGAGAGGCAGGCAGGGTGGCGGGGACAGGGCTGCAGGTGGGCGGGAGGGCGGCCCCCAGCAGGCCGGGCAGCGGGCAGCAGCACGGGAGGCCTGCGGAGACAAGCGCCCGGCCACGGGGGCTCCTGGGAGGCTCGCCGCCGGTTCGTGCCGCGAATGCCACTTTAGGAATCTACAACACAAAAAGAGAAGAGAAAGCGCGTTAGAGAGGGTCGCGGGCAGAGGCGGGCACTTTGCAGTTCACTGCAAACTGCTCCGCCCTGGGCGGGGCGGGGCGGGGCTTTGGCAGCAATTGGTTATCAAGAGCGTCCTAGATAAGGAACTTTCACGGTTATCTCCCATCTTCAGCCAGTTTTACTTTGGGGTTAAGAGAAGCCCAAACCAGATCAATGCCGCCCTCCCCACCCGTCCTCCTCCAGCGGGCAGGGCCAGCCTTGGCTTCCAGGGGCCACTCCCCAGCCCCTGGATGGTGCCAGGAAGTGAGTCTACCAGCTGGAAACTCTTGGTTCCTCAGTGAAAAGGAAACCTCGTCCATTAACAGTGAAAGTTCTTCATCACCAGGAGGCAGAGGAGACACAGAGAATGGGCTCGGCAGCCCTGAGGGACACACAAGGCAAGGAGCAGGGCAGATGGCACTGGAGGAGGAGGAGGAGGAGGAGGCAGAATTTTTAAAAAGCATTTGGCTAGAAAATTTCCCATTGCTAACAATGAAAGAGTTAAATACTCATTACACAGAATAATTTTCTTGGAAAAAAGAGAAAAATCACTTAAAATACACAACACTGAGAAAATATAACGTTTATTAGAGAGGCAGATGTGAGGGGTACAACTAGAAGATGCCAGACAGATTCTTTTCTTTTAGGATAAGAGAAAGAAACAATCATGTTGGCCGTGTTCAATGCAACTTACTCAGAACCCAAGAGTCTATAAAAACTCAAGTGCGGAGCAGCCAGCTGGGGACCCAGCTGGGGCAAGAGTCCTGGGGCCTCCCCAGAAGTTATAAAAACAAAAGGTCATTAGGCAGCAGAATAACCGATAAAACAAACAGATAAAAGAGTAAGACATTAAAACAACTAATTCAAGTCATCCTTTTTAGTTTTTAAATTGCAGTATATACAAATAAATTCCTAGGTGGGGAGAATTATGGACATGTTTAACAGAAAGCAATTCTAAAAACACAAAATGCAACCACATAAGGAAATCCCAATCCAGTTGACCAATTGACTCTAGTCTAAATATTTTGGCAATTATTAAATAAGCACATTGTAGACACCACACACACACACACATACACACACAGAGAGAAAAGTGCACTGGTATTATTAAAAAGAAAACAACTGCTTTGAGGTTTGGTATCAGAAAGCAGGGGCTGCCCCAAACCACGGGGGCTGGACGTGTTGACCAGCATTTTTAACCTCTAGGGGCCTCTTTCCAATAAAAGGAGGAGATCATAAACAGCTGAGATTTTGCTGCTTTTATTGAAATGGCACACTGATGGGAAGAAAACCAAGGGTACTCGGGGTGGACCTGAGAACTCTGACTCTTCGGCAATCCTTCCAATGTCTTCTAACATCACGCCCCGACAAAATGGAACCGAAACCACAATCCCCTTCTTGACTTCACCAGTGTGACCCAGGTTGATTTGCAATAAGTACTGAGGCTTACAACTTAGTGATGTAAATTTAGGCATTCAAACTGAACCCCCTTCCCACCCACGCTTTGCTTTGCAAGCCAACCGAGTGATTTCCAAATCAAATTTGCACAACTCCAGGGTGGGGGTGGGGGGCCGCGAGTTCACTGAGTGGGATTTGAAGAGGCTAACACTGTCTGGCCCTGCCTCAAGCGTTTTCAGTGTTCCCTGCTTCTACCAGGAGCTCCTGGTCTGGACACAAGCTCAGCATGGGATGGAGGGGCAGAGGTGTTATGCCTAGGGGTCTCCGGGCTACCTGGTCACCTGAATAGAGCTGCTCACCTCACACTCAGACCC